GTCGGGGGGGGGGGGGGAATTTATCGTAGCAATTGCGAGTGTTTGAACTTGCACGGAATATATTTGCACCAGATTTATGATGCGAGTGAAATGTTGTTGATAAACGAGGTTTAATTGGCTCCAGGAAAGAGGACGTAACTTCAGGCAAAAAGCTTAACTGTTGCTTCTTGAAGAAGTGGTCATGGGGACTTCTTAAGTTGTGATTGTTTTCTTCGATGATGCTCCCAATTTCATACAGCACGAGAACAAGTGCAGATGAAAACGGGTGCAAAACACGTGAAGTCGGAAAAGTAGTGCAAGCTCAGGTGAAAACAGGGGCACATGTTAAAAGACAGATTTGCACATATAAAAAATGATCTAAGAGGTTAAAACTGTCGCAATTGCTTTGATAAATTCCCCCCATGGTGTCTCCTCAGTCTTTTTTGCGTTGCATGACACTGGAAGAGTGAGAACATCTTGTGGTGAAGAAGGGGGCAGCGCCATAGGGGAAGTATTGCAGTTAAAGCTGTTTTTTAATTTTTTTCTTCCTGGGGGACATAAGAGTTAATTTCATGGCTAGCCATTTCCCCATATGTTCCAGTTGTGGAAATTACATAGTTTAGAGTAAGCCTGCACTTGCAGAGGCACCTTAATAGCATTATGTTGCTTCCATGTATATTTGCAAAGGTTTTTTACTGAAACAGGCGTTTTGATTATGGTTTTAGAAGAAAGTTTTCGATAAGGTCTCTCTTACTGGCTGTCGTAACTGGAGAATTTGTTTTGTGCTGATAATTTAAGTCTTTCATAAAGGAGAGGGCTGAATGCGGCGGGTCAGTGCTCTAACTCCAGAGTGGACTGAGAGCACTTGATCAAATCTTCTATATTTATCTTGGTAGTCTCTTCCTTCACAAAGTCCCCTTAACTTAATCCTTACAGTTATCTGATGGTTTCCTCTGTTGTTGGCTTCTATAGCCTGTGGTTTTTTGGAGGTTTCACTCCAAGGAAGGATGACACAACAATGACAAAGGTAAGTAACACTGGTTAGAGCAGACGCTGGTCACTCATCATAGATGCTCCTTGTGTTCTTAAAGCCCAGCTGAGGTCACAGAAATAGATAATGCAGACAGACAGAGTTTATACTAACAAACTCTTTTTTCAGTCTTGCCTCCACTTACTGTTCCAGCAGTTGTGCAGAATATCTAGATATGACTGAGCAGTCCAATATGCACCAGAGTTGGATCCAGTGTATTCAGTAATCAGGAGCTAACTGAACTGGTTAGGTCCTGATTACTGAAGGCTAATGAAGGGGACCCTACACAGCCCCGAAACATTGCTGCAATGTGACAATATGCGTCAATAAAGGACGATCACTTGACCAATTTGTTTGGTGTACCGGTGACACTTTGCTTCCTCATTGCTTCCAGCGGTGCCATCCGCAGTCATTTCAGCACCAATCTCCAGGGGTTTCCGGTAAGGAGTGCAGCAGGACACCCATAGGAGTCTGGCAGTGTTAATTGTGACAATATGTGTCATTGATCTTAACATGAAGTATGTAGCAAGGACAGGCAGCAGGAGAGTGGTCAGCACAGTCAGTACACTACTAGGGAGCAGTGCTGGGGGGGAAAAGTTATAGTAGCACTAATAATAATAATCATGATTAATTTTATATTATAGCACACACTTCAACCTTAATACAAACGTATATAAATTCTAGCGTCATTAAACTTTTTTTTTTTAGAACTTTAAGCCTCAGTCCTCCTATAAGGTTTTAGAGGTTAATCTCTGGGATTCGTGACTGCATTAAGCTGGCCATACACCTATAGATTATCGGCAGATTTTCTATGGTCAGATGGAAAAAGTGCAACAGGTTCCTCCATATACGCTAAACTGTGTGGATGGAGGAATCTCGCACTGGGCCAAGCTTCAGTATCTTGCTAGTCGGCTCCGCTGGCTCTCAACACCTGAACCATGCCTGCATCCAATCAGATTGTTCAGGTATTTTGAGAGCCAGTGACGCCGACTAGCAAGATACTGAAGCTTGGCCCAGTGGGAGATTCCTCCATCCACACAGTTTAGCGTAGATGAAGGAATCTGTAACACTTTTTCCATCTGACCATAGAAAATCTGCAGATAATCTATAGGTGTATGGCCAGCTTAGGTATATGGAGTTAATTCCAGCCTGTAGCACAGGTTCAGAGGGCAATAGATCTAAACTTCTAAGATAGATGAGCAAATGCTTCTTACTTCACCCAGGGAGATCTGTGAGGTCTGACTTCAGCCCTTCTATACTGGAAACCTCACACTTTATTTTTCCTGATTAGTCCCCCTAATGGATCCCCCCTCCTACCCCAGACCCTATAGGAGCCTTGTGGGCTGCTGTGGCCAATGTTGTCTTGGGTCCACTGTTTAGTTATAGATCTAGAGGCTTGCCCATGGCAATCTGCAACATTTAAAGAGCAGGAAAAACATAAAAGACAGCACAGTGATGGGTATGAGAAAGTACAAAGGGAAAACTCATGAATTTCGAGTATGTTGCAAGTAAAAAAGTGAACCTGATCTTTAGCAATTAATTGTCACCTAGGGCAGTAAATACCCCATATGGCTCATTTGCAGGATTGCTATTTGTTGGTAATCTGCGTAAACACAAACTGGAAGATTTTCTAAATCCTCAATGAGTGGGAAAAAGGGATTTGAGCCGTGTTTAGTTTGGACACCGTCCATTCACTTGTTTAAAAAAAAAAAAAGGCCTGCAATTACTGGGCTTGTTAACCGGCCATAGAAACACAGTGAAAGAGAGTTTTCTTTCTTCCCAAAGCTCCGTATTGCTAATGAGTAACTCTGTGCAAACTGTACTTCACTCGGCCTGTTTGAAATCTGAAGAACTTCGGCTTCTTGGAGGAATACAGTTATTCAAATTTAAATAATTAAAATAAGACTAAAGGGGGGACCTTTTCAATGGCTTCTTACAAGTTAAAGCTAATTTGACTTCGCACAACCTGACACCAGCCTGAGAAGAATGAAACTGTTAAGGAACGCTTTGACACAAATGTATACATTTATTTTTGTTGGATATTCCCACAAGCTGGCTGGGGAGGTCAGTAACTAAGGAGCAAGCATTGTCTCTTTTAATTGCCCATATGACGCTTTTTGCTCTTGTGTCTGGAAATGTCTTCAACAAGTGTTCTCTGGCTCAGCTGAAAGCCCGGGAGCAAAATTCATGAGAAGAAATCTAGTCGGAAAACCTTTACTTTAATGGTTTACAAGAGCAGAAAATATCCACTAAAACTGAGCTACGGTGCACATGTGACATGCTTGTCAAAGGGTTCATCTACCAAGTTTTACACATTCATCTTCCAAATAAAATTCACGCTGGACTCAGGAATTAGATGGAACTGGTTGGCATTGTATTTTGAGGATAGTTTTTAAAAATTGTTCACTTTATACATGGCTCATGTCACTATCTCTGAGTGAGAGAAACATTTCCCACACTCCAGGGCTTTAAGAAAGCTGATGGCAGTTCATTTTTATTGTTGTCATTGGTAAAAGTCTTCTCTCATATGTATGGAGGAAAGAATCTCCATAACCCCTTTCTAACATGAAAAAATACTGTTTAGAGATTTTCAACACATAGAATAATGTGCTAGACATGTAAAGTCAGCCCGTACTCTCAAAGTTCATTTACATTCTAATTATTCCTCATGCTGTCATAGTGTTACAAATCTAGCTCAACAAATGGAGCTGTAAGCTAACTGGAACCAGCTATCTGAAGATCAGCAAACAGAAGCTTTGATATATACATAATAACCGGGAGATCAGATTGCATATACTGAACTATGAGGACAACCCTCATTGTGTGAAGGAAGACAGACACATGCTGGGCTTTTTTACTGGAAAGCCAAGCATGCTTTGCAAACAGAGAATAATAAATGTTTTCACATTTTATGGTAAAACGTTTACACAAAAATACTTTATATATAGCCATAAATATTAAAACACTCTCAGGATATTGAGTGGGGTGACTGTATAGCCAGGTTTCACTACACATCTGTCACTCACTGGACCCGGTTCTACCATTTTTGCTTTAGGTAGTGATAATAGTGTAACATGATTACAAGAGGAATGGGGAGGCTGTAGAAAACATTGCAGCCTACGGATAGAAGTGAGTCAGAAAACAACAGTAAGGTGCATAAGATCTTATTACATGCTACTTGTTCATTCTGTGATATTGCTTTACAAAATATATCAAACGTTTCAATATACTCCCTATTTATATTTATATATCTTTTATCTATCCTATTTCCTACACTATTTTGACATTTATTTTGGGACAAATGGTCTAGATGTATGTGTTCAGCCTGTCATTAGAACCTCAATGTCTCTCAGTCCTCTAATATCACAGTGCGTGTTTAAGATGCGTGACAAGAACAACAAGCAAGTCGACTAATCTGGAGTACAAATATGTTGCCTAATTCCTGCAGTCCATTCATCAGATTGTAGAATTCTTTCTTATCATTTATAGAAGTATATGGGGAATATTTTGACACTCTGGCCACAGTCTTGAATAGATTGTGCACTTCATGTTAGCCAGAGGGGGAAGTAACACTTGGGACATTTTGCTGAACAGATCACAATAAAAGACCAATAGAAGTAAAGGAGATATTGTATATACATTTGTATCCAAACCACCATCCATCCCAGTCCTGATTCTCTTTGCTAGAGTTCCCCATTAGCACCAAAAAAAAAAAAAAAACTGCTCTCCAACCCACAGGCATCAAATCTTTCTGTATGATACCTCCAATGTTCCCAGCACCCAAATCTTCAGTAGGCTACAGAGGTATATGTCATGCGCGAGATGATATAGAATTTTTGTTCCTCTTAACAGGCACATAAGTATACATTGTGATTTGAATCTTATTGATTTATACTAGTTAACCAACAAGACAATTAATTTAGTCGTATGACAATAATTACAATACATCTGTTTTGTGTCACAGATCATCGGGAACTGCGCCTCTATTCTGGTGCTCAGCTCCGCCTTACCAGTTATGTCAAGAACATTAGGTATGGCTTTTTTCATTGTGTGTAAATGGCTCCCTGAGAACAGGATGTCTTTTTTGGAGCTCCATTTAAAAACGTGTCTGGCAAAGGGTTTAGAAAGTCTGTGGGTCCAATTATAAAACACATTACTTTAAAATCCAACCAGGTAACATGTTTCCACCTTTCCTTGCAATGACAGTGCAGCTAATTTGCAGGCCTGTACCTGACCACCAGGGAAAATGTGTCTGTCCCCACCGTCTCTTCTAAAAGCCGAGACACATTATAGCAAAACACCAAAAACATACGTTGTGGCATGGTCACTGCTCAAATAAAATTCATGAGCGTACCAGCAGTGGCAGCCTTGGATTTGGTAATGGGAAAAATTATATTAACAGCATCCAATCTGAGTCAGGTCTTGCAGCTCCAATGATACAGGCAGACAATATCTTGGCTGCAAAGCAGAAAAAACAACACGGAGCACAAATACTTGGTGTATTAACCCAAGAGTGGAATAAAAGAAGGTGAAAATACACTTGTTGTATGTAGATAATGAGCTTGGAAACACTTGGATATATGGACATCTCCATACTCTCATCCAAGAACCAGCACAGGGCACTCTGATTAATAGGTAGAGCTGCCAGGGCTAGTCCACAGCACCTCCGTTCTCACAGGAATATACAAAAGAGGACACAACCTTCTACATTAACAAAAACACTTAATTGCATGGAATAAAAAAAAACTTTCACCTTCTTGTATTGTTTCACTTGGTTAATAAACTAGTTGATTGCACTCTGTGTGGTTTTTTTTTGGTAACTTAAAGGTCTATTCAGAAAAGGGTGCAGAGTTTAGAGAAGGCAGGAGAAGGGAACATTCTAGGACAACAGCAGATTTAGAAAAATTCTCCAATTCAGCTCACTTACCAGTTCAGCTATCTTGTCCTAGATTGTTCACTTCTCCAAACTCGTCACCCTTTTGTCAATAACCCTGTTAGTCTTTTTTCCTAGTTCAGGGCCATCCAACTATGGTATGAGAAGACATCACAGAAATGTAGACTTCACCAATTTCTTTTAAATGAAAATACCATAAAAGTGTAATATAGTTTCCAGTATGAAGTGTCTAATAAGCATTCCATTCGTTGTTGGCAGGGTTTAAAGGAGAACTATGAGGTGAGTGCTTTTCACTCATAGTTCTAGCTGACCTGTGACAATGAGACTGTCACAGGTCGGCTCAGGATCAGGAAGTGAGCGAACACATACCGGCGTTCGCTCACTTCTCGATCCTGTCACGGCTCTCTGCCGTGACAGGGGAGGGGCTGGATTCCGATCCTCCAGCACGGACGGGGGAGGGGGCAGGTACAGCTGGCTCTGCCTCTAGATAGAGAGCCAGCTGTCACTCACGCAGCTGGGCGGATCCAGACATAATTGTCGGGATCCGTTTCAGCTGCGGCGTCTCAGTATACTGCGAGCTGTAACTTGCGGTATACTGAGCTTAGGGTGACGGGAGGTCGCTAGTTTGTGTCCTCCCGTTACCCTAAGGAGAAAAGCCCTAACCCCATAGTTCTCCTTTTAAAGTGTAACAAAGAATAAAAAATGTTATAGATTGCAGGTTACCAGTCCTTAGAGTGGTGACTGCATTAGTTTTAACTTTCCAGGTTTTATTTTCCCTTGGTGATCCTGCTAGTAATACATTTCCTGTTCTAGGGTGACAATGCTTGCTCACTGTACTGTTTCTGTGGAGGAGTATTGCTGTCTCCCTAGGCTGCTCTCCTGACATGGACTACAAGCATCCTCTCTGCTCGCCTCCATACCATGGGGGAGTATTCTCTAGCTCACAGAAGAGAGCTGGTAAAGCAAATAATGTTTGACATTTTAGTTAATTGCACAGGAAGTTACAAGGACACTGGATTTCTGGCAGGATCAACAGGTATTTTTCTGTAAATGCATAAAATGTAAAAAAACAAAAACAATGCAGCTACCACATCAAGGACCGGTAAGCTGCGACATATTACATTTATATTTTTGGCAGTTATTGGGGGAATTCATTTATATTTATAATTTCTGGTAACATTTTCTGAGGGTTTATGCTATCTGGGGAAGTAGTTCCACAAGGTTCTTGTTGCTTTTTGTATATTCAGGTTCCATTTCCTCTCTCACTATAGTCTTTTTAACATATTGGATTAACTCGGCTGTTTCTACCCACACACACACACACAAAAAAAGTATAAATGTGTATGTAAACAGTTATTAAAAAAATACTGTGGGAACTAACAAATTGCTTTTGTGTCACTTAAGCCCGTTCACCGTTTCCATGTTTCCAAAGCTGATTTTGTGTTCTCTATAATACGAGATTGTTGGTAACAGTTGGTAGTAATGTACACTGGTTATTGAGAGGAAGGGCGCTTGCTGGGTACAATTGTTGTTACAAAGAAAACAAATTAATGGCAAAGCCCACCTCCCCCGCCCCAAATCTTACAAATGACATTCCTGAATAGTTTGCCATAGAGATAAATAAAAGAATAAGATAGAAGGTAAAAGAAGGATGGTACAATTAGAGCAGCACTAACAAATGCACAGACACAGCTGTCCAAACAGGATTAATAGACTGCATTAGGGTACAGTGAGTCATGTGGTGCTTTGCAAAATATCAACATGCATTGCATTACATGTTATGCCTAGTGCTTTTCAATAGATGAAAGGAAATAAATACGCTAAACAGATTCATGGTCTTCTCACAGTATTAAAAAAAATACAAAAAACATTTTTTTTCTCCCTCCCTAAATCAAAGGGGTAACTGGACAGACCATGATGGGAAAGGCAAACTAGGAGAATAAAACAAGCAATCTAGTAATTCACATCTGAATTTTTTGCCTGTTCAGGATTGCAATAATAATGGCACGTCAGCTTCTCAAGTACTTGACGTTTATGCTGCTCCAAGAGCCTCGCACAGCTTTAGCTTTAGTCCCTAGAGCAGGACAGTAGATTAAAATATTAATAGGAGCCCCCCCCCTTCCCACTTTAGACTGCCAGCAAAGTGACCGAAACATTATGCTGACCTCTCCTGCTGAACATATTAGTTTGGTGGGAAAATGAACCCCTGCATTCAATGTTGGGGTCACTCAGCGCAGCTAAGGACTTCTAATTCTTATGATCCGCATACTTATGTTGGATCCGTCACTTGGATAATATTTAAATCGGCGAGTCAGAATAATAGCCAGTTGGCTAGCACTTTTGGAGGGAGATCTGAAATTGCTCCCCTTGTGTTCCTTTCATGACAGGTTTGCTTTGCAATTTATGTATTCTTGTGTCTCATGTTTAAGTATTACTATAGGTAAAAACTAAAATCCTGTATGTAAAAGTTGCATACATACATCACTCTTAATTTTCCTAATGCTCATTCGTTAAAAGAGTAAATATCCAGTGAACCTTCCAGTCCACATGAATTTCCCACAGTGTCCAGGATAGGAACCAAAAGGGCAAATCCTCTCAGTCAGGCCACCCAGACCCCAGCAAAACCCTGACTGGGGAGCTAGTCCATTGCCTTTCCATTGAGAACAAAAAAGGATTGCCTGAAGTTACACTTCAAGTATATGTAAAGGTTTTAATTCTCAATTGAGCAGTTCTGTTTTTTTGGATACAGCCCTGAGTGTCATGTTTTGCTATGTTATTGTATGCGAGTTAGTATGAGCTTAACCCTTTGCCTATTATATTCTTGACCACTACCATAAAGAATGTACTCAATTCTAATGCATTCACCTTCATTCTCTCTTCCAGGAATCACAAGATTTGATCTGTTAGGTGATTTTGGACGATTTAACTGGCTGGGAAACTTCTATATTGTTGTTACATATAATCTGATATTCGCCGTTGTGACAACTCTGTGCTTAGTAAGAAAGTTCACCTCTGCTGTTCGGGAAGAGCTGTTAAAAGCAATAGGTACCTACAAATAATGGCTGTTTGCTGCATCGGAAGCATTTGTTTGTTCAGTAGAAATACATAAATGCTTCTTATGCAGTAATTTTTTTTTTCTTTACATGATCTTTGGGAAATTCTTCAACTGTGTTCCAGAAATAAAAATATTGTGGATTCTTGATTCCAGCCAACCAGCTTTGTTTGCATTGCACAGTTCTGCCAGTGTAGCATGTGTTCAGGCACCAGGAGAAGGCGGGTGTTAACGCAGCTTACAGTAGGAGGGTGTCAGGACCGGGGCACAGATACCTTGGTCAGAGTGTAGAGTGGTAAGTTGTTTAGCAGCCGCCTTTCCCATAAGGCAATATAAACCTACCGGTACTCTGATGCCCCCAGGAGTTTAACTATACAATCTGGCCAAAAATGTCACAGACGGCCCCCAGGAACAAGGAGTAGTACTGACTGGAGACAAGGTACAAGACAAACCGAATACAAGATAGAAAACAGGATACGAATACAAGACAGGAACTGGATACAAGATAAATACAGGATATAAGAAACAAAACAGGTACATACAGGATAAAGATCCAAGGCAAGACTAGGTACAAAATACAAGATCAGGATACAGGCTTGTGTAGACCGAGCGAGACGAGACTAGACTGGAACGATCACAAGCCCAGAGCCCTGGTCTTGTAATGCTTAAATAGAGCACCACTAACCAACCCCTAGGCTGTGAGGGGCGTGTAGCCAGGATGATTAGCCCGCAGCTGACTAGACCGTAGTAGGTGCAGTTACAAGAGGCAACCACCAGATGGAGCTGAGTGGTAGCAACAGGCATGGGAACATTTGACATGCTCCTAACAGAGGGGAGCACCATTAGGACTTCAGTGGTATGATGATAACATCTATAGTCCTTTTGAGTTGGAAAATGACACAGAAATCAACAAAAGTGAATAATGGTGTCATGGTCCTGGCAGTGCTTTCTGGCCGGGGTGTCCGGATCACAGGTGTGGCTGAATAAAATGAACAATTTTTGCATGTGAATCAGTTCACATATACAGTATGTATTCTTACGTAGTATTTAGCCGTTTGGTTTAGTTTCTGAGTTAAATATAAGTAGATATAACTAACGCTGAAATCCACCAATACCTAATATAAGGACCTAAGAACTGTTTTCAATACACTGGTAATCATAATGAGATAATTGATAATGTACTATTACTTATCACACCCAAACATTTATTTATCACTTTTATCCTCAGCCTAACCCCTAACCTTCACTTTTAGCCCTCATTCACTCGGGTAACGGCCGGCCTGTACAGTCGCATGCTGTGTGCATGGCCGTATCAGGTCGCTCCCGGGAAGGACAGGTGCTGCGTGTGATTATACGCAGTAGCCTGTCCTTCTCTATGAGAGTACGCGGCCGTACGCCGCCCTACGCTCACCCGACCTGCACGTCCGTGCTGGTGTCCGTACTCGTACGCTGACAGGATGGATCCTGTCTGCGTCCGAGCTGGGACACCTGCACCCGTAGGGACGTGCAGGTCGGGTGAGCATAGGGTGGTGTACGGCCGCGTACTAATCACATGCAGAACTTGTCCTTCCCGGGAGCGGCCCGATACGGCCATGCACACAGCATGCATCTGTACAGGCCGGCCGTTATCCGTGTAAATGAGGGCTAAAAGTGAAGGTTAGGCATGTAAAAGTGAGCCTGAGCTCAATAAAAACCTTCTTTGTTTTAAGTCTTGTCTAACTGGAGATACCACAAGCTGCTTGAAAAACCTCTTGTGTGTCCCTCTGATTTACTGTGTTAATGGGAAATTATTTTTCTTGACCTCATGGCCAGGCTCTACCACTGCCACCCCCTGTCCAAAAGTGTTATTGGAATGACAGTTGCCAGGAAAGTCCAGTCCCAGTAGCAAAGTAAAATCTAAATCGGGGAGGGGCACAGAAGAGTTTTTTTTCCCTTTTTTTAATTTGCCTGTACTTTGTGTTTCCAGGTTTAGATAAACTTCAGCTCTCTAATGAGCCCAGCGATACAGCATCCACCAACGGGCATCAGAAAACACTGTGAAATATCATTCAGCATGGCTACAATCAACATTCCTCGCAGGATGTGGACCCATTGCTTTAACCAGCACTTGTAATGTCTACAGAGCTCTAGTCTTATCTCCACAGCAGAGACTTGTAGGTCAGTTTGACCATGTAGCCACAATTTTGTGAACTAGACTTTTCTACTTTTTTTTTTTTTCTTTCATGTTCTGTTACAGGAAAAAATAAAATGTGACATTTTGTTTCAACATGTAGAGTTAGAGCCGGACACCAGCGAAGAACCTAAACCTCACAAACCATGTAACATTTTACACAGTAGAGAGGTTTAAATATGTTTTATGCCACCCCATGCTTCATTAATAGGCTGAAATTTGTATGCTTCACCTCCTCTGTCCTAGACAAGCCATCTCTCTATAATAAATCACACACCAATATTGATTTCCAAGTATGTGTCTGAGAGAAATGAAATATTCTGTATATCTGCAATACATGCATGTTTCCCAAGGTTTTGTCACCCTAAAAATGCTGCAAGTATAGAAGGATTCCAGTCGTTCCAGCCAGAAACTCTGTGAGCTTTTGATTTCCTCTTGGATCTGACAACTCTGTATTTGCTGCATTGAAATTCCAATGTTATCATTGATGAATGGGCACTCCCTGCTAGACTACAGAACACCCCCATCTCATCTCCATGATATAAGGGTAGTTGTTCTGTTCACTGCTTGGGATTTCAGTGTAGCAAAGGCATTATACTGTCAGCTCAAACAGGAAGTTAGGAGCACACTGGATGTTCTGTCATATCAACAGGTATGTCTGTGTATGTGCAGCATTTCTGAATAAACATCTGTCATGTATTGCACAGACGCGCTGCCATTTAACATGAGGGATTTGAAAACAATGACACAGAAATATGTGCTTCAACCTTCAGCAGTCAGCAGGCCCAGCTTCAGTTTCCAGACACATTTCATCCGCTGGTGACTTAGATTTCTCCTGTGGCAATATCACCTCTCATACCCTGCCATGGTATGAATAGGCTCTTCATCTTCTATTAATTTCTATAAAATAATGTCCCAGCTTAGGAGGTCATTTTATATATCCTCGCCTTCCTGCCATGTCTTGTAGTACAGTTGTTGTGACCTTCGCCCCCCTTGACTCTTCCATTTCAGATTTAATGGCTGATAGCCTATGATCACTAGACATAGCCTGTTGTACAGTGATGAGAGCACCATCAGTGTAATGTTACATCTGCATATCGCTGTGTAATGGTAACATCTTCCCCTACATATTCAATTTATTGAAGAAAGGTGTCGGATTTGGGTATATAGAATTCACCATTTCTAGTGTGTCCTGTATTCTGGCATAGCAGCAGTAAATTCTGATTCCCATTTATGGAAAATGGAGGTGAATTCATCCAGAGAAGCATAGTCCATCCTTACTGCACAACACATTAGGCAAGTTGAGATCTGACCGGGTCTCTTGAATTGTACTCTGTCTGCTTTATTGTGCTGCAGTGAAGTTCACACACTTTACACAATTGTTTATAAAGTCATTTTCTGTTGTCAATATGAACACATGTTCTCTGGCTGCATATAGGAGATGCTGGGGCCACGATGAGACTGACTGGCTTCTGAATGTGCTGTATGAACTTACCCTCCAATTGAGTGCTATCATTTCATAAATATAACCGATAATATAAAACACACACTGACCGCATTGTGTAGTTAACTCATACAAGAGGGAGATATGTTTCTGCTAGCAAATGCCTTGAAAGTTGTCTTTGAATTACTAAAGGTCCTATGCCAACCCTATGTCCATATCACATAGAGCAGAGGCACCACCTACAAAGTGCATCCATATCAGGAAAAGGGGTTTTGAATCAGAGAATTGGTGGCAGCATCACACATTGTACATTGGCAGGCCTGGAAAACGAGATGATTGCATGGTTCTAAACGAATGAAATAGGGATAGGATGCCCTACCACCAATCTTCTTGTATGCTTTGTGAGCTGTTAAAGGATCAGTCCATCCAAAACTTATATTCAGTTGTTGGTGAGTCACCTGCTGGCTTCTTGTAGCTCTTGGGGACTGTGGAGATATGATCTCTCGAGCACAGACCACGTAAAAGATGCAGCAAGCAGTTTTTTTTAACACACCGTGCCGTCTAATTCGTCATCCACTGCATGTCTTCTGCTGGTGACCGATTCCCTTCGACAATCCATTTTACATTTATTTCACTGACCTTTTTACATCACATTTGAATAGTTATTGTTACTAAAGCTTAGACAAACTTCTGACTTGCTAAGTACAATTCTAGTTACTTGAATGTTTGTCTTTTTAGATTCAGTACAAGTTTTGTGTTTAAGTTTCTGTTCTCCTTTATTGTTAAGAGAGAATTCACAAAGTTTGAAATGTGAACAAGATCACTTTGAATTTAGTTTAGTTGTGGTCTGTGCTTTCTTTATTATTTGTATTGCATTTTGCGTGCATTTTACCGGATTTTTTTTGTAAGTGTTTATATATGTTCAATAAACCTTATTTTTGTGTTTCCTAAATCTGTGGCACTTTAATGTGTTCTGTGGGTCTAAATGCAGAACAGTCAGAGAGATGATAAAACATTAACAGCTTCTTTTTATACTACTCCTATCGGTGCGGAAACAAGTATTAAATCACCAGCATCCAGGATTTGGTCGGACATCTTTAATATGTAATCTGCCATGACTTGTTACATATGCATGCACATGGGAGGATACATTTTAGGACATTTATTACAGGTATTTATATAGCACCAACAATTGTACGCAGTGCTTTACATACTGCACATTGACATCAGTCCCTGCCCTCAAGGAGTTTACAATCTTAGGTCTCTATCTCACATGCATACATACCGATTTATACAGGAGCCAATTAACTTTCCGGCATGTCCCACTACGGCACTGTGGTGCCCATTTTATCAATTCTATCCCATTGCACGGCAATGCTAAATGGGAGCAATGAGGTAGACACAAGATAGATTTAGAATACTGTTGTAGCTGCATTTATAAATTCCTTCTCTAAAGTAGCGCTGCAGACAGAATAAATCCCACACATGACCTCTTCTTAATTGTGTCTGGAGTAAAAAAATCTCTCAATTTACTGTCAGAACTATACAAAATTGTTGCAGTTGGCTGCCTAGAATTACAGGCACCAAGGTTGCGCATAGACTTTGTAAACTGAGAGGAAGCCTGATCTGCATCTAATTGTGTCACTCATTTGCCTGATGTACTGTATGGCCCCCAATGTTCAATATACGACCCATCACCACCAAAGTGTTGTGGCGAATTAAAAAAATGTAATCCACCGCTCTGGTACATTGACTTAATTCACACCTAGAGCACCACGATAACGTGTACATTACCACGCGTGTTACTGCAACGGGAAAGGGTGCCCCTGCTGGTCCCCATTTATTCCTGTTCTGATGACAACCCAAAACCTGGCATCTTCTTTCACATTCCGTGACAACGGACACCAGGACAAATGGGGTAAAACTCCCTAACGAGGACACAGGCCGCAAAAAAAAACCTGACATGTTCTAGTCCCTCTCCACTCCATCCAAACTTTAAAGCTAAAAAAAAAAAGGTTTGGTTTCAGTTGCACTTGAAGGACCAGTAGTGTGTGTGTGTGTGTATATATATATATATACACATACACACAGAGCCAGAGCGTACCAATATTTTCCATTAGGGAAACCTTTTCTTCTGGTATGGAGATCGGCACAAAGGACAAATCGGACATTTTCCAACTGAGAAATCCTCAAAGGCCTGAAGACAAGCATGATGAAAGACATGTGAGCAGGACAGAAGGACAATCGGTCGGGATGAGGACAGGCCTCTATGATCATTGTAATTCAGTGCTGTGATACATATCGGGCAGTCAGAGATTTCCTGATGAACAGCCTGCAGAACAAAATGTCACTTGGTCATGTCTATGAATCTGCTTACAACAAATATATACAATGCATCAAACAAGCAAAGAAAATGTTTTTTTAAGGCCTTGTTCACACCGAAAGCATGTGCGTTCCAGAGGGTGGGAGGGGGCGCGGCGCTGCATTGAATTCAATGGCACTGCTTCCACGCCTCCCCGGCTCACAGTGCGATCGGACGCGTGGCAAGACTTTGCCAGCGTTCCGTTCCACTCCAAACACAAAAAATAGGGCTTGCTTTATTCCATATGTATGTCCACGTGTAGCTACACTTGGTGATGTAAATGTACACATGGAATAAAAGGAACTTTGCTTGGAGAACCTTTGGAGTGCTGGTGACTTGCCGTTTTGTTTGATTTTTGTCTGTCATTTCAACCCCTCCCCCCCCATTGGAAGTTGGGGCATTTTCGGTCATGAGTGCGGTGGGATCCCCTACATGACTGTAGTTTGTGTGTTAAGGTGCAGGCTAACGGTTGAATTTAGAAGTGCAATTAAGTTTTAGGGTTTGCGGTATGGGCTATGGGAAGAACTTTTTTTAATGCTTGTTTTAACATTTGTGGAAAATAAAATAAACTTGAGATTGCGCCAAAAATGATATCCACATATTCAAGCACAAGAACTAGGCTGCTTTTATACATCCGATGAAGCTTTAAAGTGACACTAAACTCCGGAGTTAAACCTTAAATACATTCAAGTACCTTCATTATTAACAAAAATGTATCTTATTTGTGTATTGCTCTGCTGCAGACCCTCAAATCATCTCTGAATTGGTGCTGACACTGTCCTTCCTTCTGGAGGGTGGCTACTTTTCTTCCCCATGGTCCCTGTGTTTGTTGTAAAGTAGCCACCGCTCCAAGCTCGCTCCCGTGATGGACTACAATCTTAGTACAAATTAGTAAACTAAATGTGAGATTGGAGTCCATCATGGGAGCAAGCTTGGAGCGGTGACTACTTTGCAACACACACAGGGACCATGGGGAACACAAGTAGCCACCCTCCAGAAGGAAGGACAGTGTCAGCACCAATTTAGAGATGATTTGAGGATCTACAGCCGAGCGATACACAAATAAGGTCGAGTATTGTTAATAGTTAAGGTACCTGAATGTATTTTTAAGGTTTATCTCCTGAGTTTAGTGTCTCTTTAATGACACTCTCCATAGCTCTGGCCTGCCATGAATAGCTATACAAAGGCACAAACATTAACGACAGAATCAGTGACTTCCTCTTTGTGGGAAACGTGTAGATCTAGTGACAGATGACTACAGCTCACCTGTACTTGTATCCTCTCCCAATCTGCATCACTGATGTCTCTGTTGAAGTTTTCCTCCAACTGATGGAAGACACTACGACTTGCAGCGACTGACCGGTCGATCTCACTGAAAAGCACATCAATGTCTGTGCTGCAGGATCTCAACAAGCGGTCGGATATTTCAGTGAACTGCAACATAAAGAAAAAAAGGTATTTAATCACCTCCAAAATAGACAACACCAAACTGTCCCCACTACTGGATATGTGTATCCCTTATTGGATACATACATGACTGAAATTGGACCTTTACCCATATCTTAAAAATAACAACAAAGGCACCTTTAGAAATGTTTAGTAATGACAATCTACAAACAGATACTTCTAGATAATTGCCGGCTTTTTATTTGCTGACCTTATTTCTATTTTCTTCTCCAGTCTTCTGGCAGTGGCCATGTTTACTAAGGGCAGGTTACTAGCTCTCCTTTTACTTCCTGGATTTCTGGCACATGTGACTAGGACAGCAAGAGATTTGTCTATCCATGCTATTCATTCATTGGATGGTGAAATCTGTTATATGTTTTAAGCCTGTGGGCCGTGTATGTCCATCAAGGACACCATGCCCTTAGTCCTTAAATAGCAGGCTGGCTATTGCACCCGCCCACTGAGCAGAGGAGCGGACCTGAGAGAGAAAGTTCTCCTCTGCTCAGTGGGTGGGTATAATAGCCAGCCTGCTATTGCAATTTGAAATAGCCAATAGCAGGCTGGCTATTGCTTACCATTGTTTACATTCTGCTGCTGACTGTGGAATCTAGCCGCTGGCCGGCAGAAAGATGTCAACAAAGAATTTAATTAGCAACTAAATACATTTTTTTAGTGCCCCCATGTCTATTAAGCAACCGGGGAAAAAATATCGAGGACATATGTCCTCATTTTTTTTTGCAGGTTGCTTGAGAGTTCCTGTTGCTTGAATGCCGGATAATGAGGAGTTCACTGCACAGTGGTACCTCGTTTCAGAAAAGCTTCTGTTCGCGAACAATTCGGTTCGCGAACAGGAAGTTCGGCAAAATTTTGCTTCCGTTCGCGAACACAACTACAGCCATCTTCCCTGCTCTGACACATGGTCGTGGCTTCCTCTAGTCGAGATCGCGTTCTGATCACTGTTTGATTCGGTTTGCGACCAGAATCGTGGAACGAATTAAGTTTGTGAACCGAGGTACCACTGTACTTACAAACAGAAATAAACCATTTAATGCATTCACATACAATGAAATAATTAGCAGCTGGTCTCCTTCAATTGTATGTTTAAAAAAAATAAAATAAAAACACTTAAGTTCCCCTTTAAGCCTAGGTGACCGCTGATAAATCATTTATAGGGCTTTTGGGATACATTTTTCATCACGCAAAAAACATTTCTATTCTGCTAAATTAATTAACCTGTCATGCCAGTTCAAACGTGAGGCACACACAAAAAGAAAAAAATGTAAGTCACTTCAAGATAGCACTGATCGAGAATTTCCATTAGACACAGCGCACAGTCTTGGGACTTAGAGTCGTGTTTGCTTAGGAGAAAATTGCACTACTTATTCCTGCAACCAAACTATAGCAGCGGTATTGTGTTCATGTGAAGAAAGCAAAGGCCTATTCTCTGCCTAGACAGATCTGGACAGCTTTTATAAATTGAAGCCATAATGTAAACCAATTAACAAGTCACATACGCCTTTTATATTTAGTTTCCAATTTATCTTTGCTAAAAGTTCTTTTGTTGCTCAAGATAAACAGACAGGCAAAGCTGTACTGGTCATGTATGTCATGCAGATGAATGGCTAGCTAAGGTGTGTCTTTTCACTGATTAACCACAATAAATATATAGGGGGGGGTCAACAGGACGCCTTGTTCCATAGGATTAGAGCTAGAATGTTGGCCCTGAAATAATATTTACATTTTACGATTTCCATTTAAAATCTCTTTTTCATCGTGAAAATTATATTTTCACCCCCTCCACTGCATAATAGTGGCAGACAGCGCCGCTTACATTCACATACAGGTCCAAATGTTTTAGATTCTTCTAATATGCCTGACTCTTACAGACATTGTGACCCCCATTAAAGTAGAAATAAACCTTTGTGGATTTTTGCATATATAATGCTAGCAAGCAATAGATATATGCAAAAACATTTTTGAAAAAGTTGCCAAAAAAGATCTGAAGATTCTCGGGCGCCAGCGAAGGATAATGGGGCGGGCACATGCGCAGTAGAAATCTTTGGCCGGGAGAAGGGGAAAGACACAGGGTAAGTCAATGGAGGCAGCCCAGCAGCGTGCACCCGCAGACTCCGTTGGACACAGTAGTCAGCGCTGGATCAGAGACTGGCACCAGCGCTGGAGGGACTCCTGAAAACTACTGGAAAGAAGAATATGATCGGATCAAGAGGCATCACTTAAGGTAAGTCGTTACAGCACAATTGGGGGGGGGGGCAGGGTTAGACTTTAATGTCACTTTAACTAAAAATAGAGAAGTTATATCCAGATACCAACCCCTTTTAATATTTAACCCTTTGGTACGATTTCAAGAATTGACATTCAACGATCCAAAACTGTATGCTTGCAAAAAAGAAGGGTGATGCTGATCTAAAGGAGACCAGATCAAAAGACACTTATAAAGGGTCGGAGTGTCAATTTGAGGTATAAAAGTATAAATCTTTATTTAAGAATAATTTAAACATGAGTCATCATCATAGACTGTCAACAAAAGTCACTTTAACAGTAAAAAAATTTCTATTTTCTTTTTCCGAAAACAGTTGCTTTAAAAGGGAAAAACAAAAAATTTAAATTTTTGGTCAATTTTGCTTATTTTGTTTATTGTTTAATATTTGAGCATATACATGTTCTGAAACTGTTTTTTTGGAATTTTTAATTTTTCAATAAAGTATAACATTTTAGGAAAAAAAACTATTTAAAGCGTACCCTTACCCATGTCTTTAAAATAACAACAAGCACACCTTTAGAAATGTTTAGTAATGACAATCTACAAACACATACTTCTAGATAATTGGCGGCTTTGTATTCTTTGCATTCCTTATTTCTCTTTTCTTCCCCAGTCTTCTGACAGTGGCCATGTTAACTAAGGGAAGATTACTAGATCTCCCTTTACTTACTGGAACTCATGTTACTTACATGTGACTAGGACATGTGACCATGTACATCATGAGATTACAGATGAGATTTCCTAGAAATGCTCTGCTGATGTAACCTTCCCAGGATGAAACGCTTGGGCACATGACATCATTTGTGCAAAAATGGACCAGGAAGTGGAAGAACTCTATTTGTAAGTAAATAAAAAACAAGTTTGTTTAACTAATGAATGTAGGATGATTTTATATCAGCATGCAGAGCTTTATACTGATGTCATTTTTAGTGAAAGAGGGTTAAGGCCTTTTTTTTAGGGCTGTGGAAATTAAAGATTAATTTCTCGATTAATCGTTAAACTTTTTAATCGATTAAAATTATTTTGATCGCTAATGAAAACACTCACCTCTCCGCCGGCTTCGGGGAGTCCCGTCGGCGATCCAGTGATGTCACGGGAAAGTCAGGAAATCACCAGCACTCAGTAGTAAAGATAAATATGTCCCTTTTATTGGACAGAAAGCGTCACAGACATCCAAATAAACCGACGTTTCGGGACCGCGCAGGGTCCCTTCCTCAAGGCAGAAAGATGTGACAAAGATGTCACATCTTTCTGCCTTGGGGAAGGGACCCTGCACGGTCCCGAAACGTCGGTTTATTTGGATGTCTGTGACGCTTTCCATGACTTTCCTGTGTTTGCACGGCACCATCCGTGGTATCTCATCACTGCGAGCACCACTTTTTTCATAAGATCTAACTTTCCCGGAGACATTATGACCTCCAGTTTTATACTGAGTACAGCTAACCATACACTCGCAGATTTCCATACCAACGTTCATATAGAAAAGTTATTTAAGAACATTGGATAATACCATCACAGACTTGATGATTGTTGTTTGAATTCTTGTTTGATTTAACACTCAGTTTGGGAATGAATGGAGTTTCATGAATACAAACCACATTCACTGTTAGAATTTCATTTCTTCAAGAAAACTTTTCCATGCTGTCCCTGTTGTTTTTTTCATCACTATGGTTGAATTTGATGATCAATTGACCCCATTAACTATTAGAAAATGGAATAAACAGTTATGGTTTATGGCCAGCTTAACATAACAAAGGGTGACTTTGTTATAGAAAATCCTGGGACATCAAAGCGACCGAGACTCCCTATTCCAACAGCACCAACACCAACATCTCGGGATGATATCACAGCTTAGAAGATCTGTGGGCCAAAGGCAAAATACCCCGCAGACTATTTTTAAATCTTTTTCCATTAAAAAGCGTTGTATACACAAAAATGCAACAAAGAGCTAATCATCTGTAACTGGTTCTCATTCTCTACCCAGCCTGCAAGGCAACAAAGACGTGTTAAAAGATGCACAATGCTGAAGTTAGCTAAAGTAGTGCAAGTAGAATACAAATGTCTAGAAAACAAAGTATATATAGAGACAGGGGGAGAAAAAAATCCGACAAAGGGACTCAGGTGGACTTTCTGCACTTGGAGGAGTAATTTTTTTTTTTCAAGTAATCCATCTTAATGTCAGCAAATTGCTTACTAATGTGTTGACTTATTGCCATCTTGAAGAGTAAAATGAAAGGGCTGGAATTTACAATGTATCAAGGGATCTCTGATAAGATATTACAGGATAAAATCCTTCTGCCAGCCGCTGCTCGGAGCCAGCTCGAGCTGACAAGACAATGTTTGCCCTGTCCTGGTCAAACGAATAAATAAGCCGCGTGGTCAAGATTTAAAATGAAAAAAAAAAAACACGTTTGTCGGGGGGAAAAAAAAAATCTCTCATGGCCGGAAAACTTCTACAGCCTTCAATGTTGTTTCACAGCCAAGCCAACTCCTTATAAAGAGCAGAACTAGCATTAAATCCTGCTCCAGATAATGTAATGCATATGAAAAAGATTTAATGGCCCCCGTAAAATGAGCTGCTTCAATTAAATGGCTTATGCAAGCACGGTTTATAGGTAAGGATCAAAGTGGCTTGCAACAGCACCGGCTGCATTCTAGGTAAGAGTTTGCTTTCTGTACACACGCATTGTGGATATTGGCATAAATGAGATAGTTGCTGTGACCTTTTAGGGACTCTTAGATCTCAGTAAAACTACTGTGGCTCTGTCAGATGGGTAATAAACATATCATTCTCAGTTCATGTCCGGGACACAATAAACAGTAACTCAGAAACAAGTAGAAGACTGTGATTCACCTTCAATATTCCGACCATAACAACACTGTCTGCAGGTTAGAGGAATGCGCCAAGAAGAGGAAATACCTTGAAGGACCATGTTAGTAAAACTGATCTTTTTTTCTAATTCTAATGATATATTACAGCACTTTGGGGCTAATTTTTAACTCCCTCTTAATTAACAGAGCTCTCCTAATCAAAGCTTGAAAAGGAGATTTTCCTTCAGCCCATTATATTACCGTGTACCTTATTAAGTGTATTTCCTGGTGGTCTATCTAATGGTCCTCTACAATGTTATGCAGACATTTCTAGCTTAACCCTTTGCCGCTGGCTCTTGCCGGCCCTTTAAGGGGTTCTTAATGGCTGGAGTCGCAGATGGGCTTCCCGATAATGTGATCATTGGGATTGGCTGTCACAGTGGCCACATGATTGGAAGGCATCCCACGTTCTCCCAAGTGTAAACAGTGACTGAGAGCTCTTGGTGACAGCTTGGTCACTGTGCTGGGAGCGCAAAGTGAACGCACTCTCAGGACAGAACAGCAGTGCCACCTGGATCCATATATATGGCTGCTCGGCGTTAAAGCCAGGCCCGGATTCCCCACAAGGCCACCGAGGCCCGGCCCGGTAGGGCGCAGAGGGGCGGCAGCGGTGTCCTTGTGGGGAAGTTGCGGGCGTCGGGCGGTAAGTTGCCCTGTCTACATTTAGTCCTGCTTTGCACAAGCAGGACTAAATGTAGAGTGAGGGAAGCTGATTGTTCGTTTACATGTGATCTCGGCGATGTCACCGAGATCACATGTAAAAAGTCTGCAGCCGGCCGGTCCGTCCTCCCCTCCCCCTGCACTTACCTCTCTCCTCGCTAGCTCCCTCCTCCGGGCTCCGCCATCCAGTCTCTCCTCACTGCAGCGAGCAGAGCGGCAGAGTTAGAAGAAGTAACCCTGCATCTCAGTGTAGACAGTGAGAGGGGAGCGCTGTGCTGTGCTCTTCCTCTCTCACCTGTCACAGGAGTTCCAGCACAGTGTTGTGCTAGAACTCCTGTATTGGAGGTGACAGGGTTAATAAAGAGAACCTGTCACCTCCAAAATGCTATCACACAGGGGATTGTTTTCTGCTGTGTGATAACAATAAAGTTGATTAAAAAAAATAAAATAATATGAAATAATTAAATAAAAAAATAACGGCCCTGGTTAAAGCCCACCCGCCATGCTGCATTACACCAGTGGGAAGGTGTTAAAGTACAGGTACATCGAGAGCCTAACTGAATTACATTTAGTTTGCCTACCCAAGCAATGTGTATAATGAAAAATAGGTGTTTTTAAAATGAAATATCAATTTTATCTTTGCATATTGACACTGCTGATCTTGTGCAACCACTTCCTGTCTATATGCATGTGCTTCAGCAACAGCTGCTCCTGCTCTTTCATTGTAATTTTCCTGATGGTGATAACAGCAGAACATGCAATGTGTATTGACACGGCTGTGAATCACAAACATTTAGGGACCATTCAGGACCCAATCAAGGCAGATAATAGGTAATAAAATGTATTTCCTATGGCAAGCATGGCACGCCAGTGAAAAATATCTCCGACCACCATTCTGGACACCAGTCACAACAACCTATTAAAATACTCAGGCCTGGATTTGTAAAAATATATAGACCAGGGCCCAGGGCAGCCCAATTCTAGCTGGGAGAGTGTTTTTTGTTTGGTTGTTCAAGTCTTCAGGGAAACATTAACATTGAGCCATACTAAAATATATGTAGACCCGCAACAATGAACTCTGTTAGTCCCTTTTCATCTTTTAAATATATCTTTGGAATCATGTTGTTACATCTGTTTGATGAGTGCAAAAAATACCTGTTGATCATGTCAGAACTTCTGAGTTGCCCTTTGTCCTGTGCACACTTCATGTTTTATCTGAAGGAATCTAATAGGCCCTCCTAGTTCTTATCTTGGACAACAGAATAATTACAGTCTATGTTATAGAGATGAGGACAGTGGAAGCGGACACCACTCCACAAAAATTCAGTGTGTTGTCAGCCCACAACAGGAGCCAAGTGTAATTGTGACAGATCAAGAGGTATTTTTCTGTACTTGCATGGTCCTTGAAGGGATAAACCACGGGGCAATGTGCGTGTATTGCAAAGTTGCACTGCATATGCTTTTGTTCTTTTTCACACTTTAAAAATCCTGTCAGAAAATTCGAAAATGCTCTCAGAGACTTGACAAATGTTTTTCAAAAACGATCATCATTTGACCTCATTAACTATTAAAGGATGGAATGAACGTTCCAAAAATGACCATTTTCGAATGAAATTCTAACGGTGTATACCCGGCTTAAAGTTAATTTCAACTTTTGCAGCCAAATTGCTTTTGGCTGCAAAACCTTTTGCACCTTTTGCTTTCCAGCTCCCTCGTCAACTCCTCCCATACTCACCTCCAGGACTTTACTAGAGTCCCTCCCATCCTCAGGAACTCTTCACCCCAACCTGTCCATCTATCTCCCACTATAACTGCCTTTAGGCGATCCCGTAAGACTCATCTCTTCTGGGAAGCCTATCCCACCTCAACCTGACCACTCAATCATCACGTTCTCAAACAATTCATCCCCACACAGCTACCTCCTCATGCATCACTTCCCCCTCCCTTTTAGATTGTGGGCCCTCCTTACCATCTTGTCTTGAATTGTATAGTGATTGTAATGTCTTCCTTATATTGTAAAGCGCTGCGCAAACTGTTGACGCTATATAAATCCTGTATAATAATAATAAATTGGGATAACACCTATTTTGGGAAATGTTCCCATCCACATTGCATAAGCTGAAAAATAGCTTCAAGTTGCTTTTTATCTGCTAAAACTTTACTTTGCTTTTCCTTCTTTGTTAGAAAGGACTGTGAGGGGTTTGTGTTAATCCTGTCTGTACTATGCTGGCTCATTTCATTATAATTTGTACGGTAGATTTGAACACTGCCTGTCTTAACAAAGGGTTAAAGGATTACAACCCTGGCTTCTGCATAATATGTTAATGAGAGAAACACATTCCTGTCCTTAGTCTTTTCTTAAGGGCAGGTCACTGTGAAGGGGCTCAGAAAAACTTGAATTCAGCCATTTTGCCTGCTGCAACAAAACATCTCAAATATATATATATATATTTCTCCTTATCCTATATAAATAGGAACACATTACAAAGATATAGAGGGGCTTTCCCAAATTTGACCTCAAAAATGGAAATACACTTTCATTATACACTTTTTGATTTTATTTGAGTTATTTAGGCGTGTACAACCTCAAAGATTTGTCATGATAAAGGACAACACAATAAAAACACCCTTGGAAGAACTTACCTGAAATCCGGCGCTATCATTATCTGTTCAGGTGAACTGACCTTTAAAATGGGGAAAACCCTTTATAAGCCTCGGCTGCTGAGAAACAGTGTATGCCATATAATATAAGTTACATCAACATTCCACAATGTACAATAACACCACGCACAACTAAATGCTTTGCGGTTATTCCTGAACATTTCCACCTCCTCACTCTCTCCCTTAGAACATCATAAAGTTATTAGTGTGACTGACGTTTTATGAGTAAATGGGGGTGACCGGTGATTTACCACTGATTTACTGCTTTTAAGTGCAATCCATAAGAAATGAAATGAAATAAGATGAGCAAAAGTTCACAGTGTTATAAAAGATTCCACTGTCTTTCTGGAAATCTCTACAGCTAGATGGAGTTACTAAAATAATGTTAATATTATTCTTGCCCCAAGCAAGACGTATAGATACCTTCTTTTCAAAGAACTTCTTCCGCAATTCAGGGTCTTTAGGAGGCGTTGTTTGGCGTAACTTTTTGTACCATTTTCGCACTATGTATCCCCTCCAGCATGCCTGAATCCTGATAAACAGAATGGTGGTAACAATACAGAATAGAAATTGTAGGTAATCCTGTCACTCAAGTTATATAGACAGATTATTATTATTACTATACAGGGTTTATATAGCGCCAACAGTTTGCACAGCGCTTTACAATATAAGGAAGACATTACAATCACAAAACAATTGAAGGCACGGTGGTTAGGAGGGCCCTGCCCCTGAGGGCTTACAATCTAAAAGGGAGGGGCAAGTGATACATGAGGAGGTAGCTGTGAGGGGATGAATTGTTTAAGAACGTGATGGTTGAGTGGTTAGGTTGAGGTGGGATAGGCTTCCCTGAAGAAATTAGTCTTAAGGGATCGCTTAAAGGCAGAGTGGGAGATACAGTGATTGGAAGATAGTGTAGGGATTGGCAGAGGGGGGTTGCAGACACCATGCGGTTGGTCAGTTGGATGAGTCTAGCAGCAGCATTCATGATAGACTGAAGGGGGGATAGTCTGTGTAGAGGTAGGCCAATGAGGAGGGAGTTGCAATAGCCAAGACGAGAGATAACAAGATAGACTGAAATTGTCATAGTGGTGGAAAGATCAGAATAAATAAAGTGGTTATATAATTCTGGATGTAATATATGACCTTTAGTTTCTGTTATAAAGTAAGCGGAAATAATTTCATACTTTTTTTCCCCATATAATGAAAGATGTCAACCCACAAGGGAGGATACAGTAGTAGGCAGTGGGTTTGAGATGGGATGGGGCCAAGCCAGTACGGACAATCCAAATGGGGCAGCTTCTCTGTACCGACTGCAGTCTTAATCAATGTCAATCCAAATGGTTAGGGTGGGGGGTAAAGCTGCTCTCTTGCCTAGGGCCCCATTCTGCCTAAAAGAGAATTCAAGTCAAACCTTTTTTTTGGCTTTAGTTTGCTTTTGGGTCACAGGAGGAGATTTACTAATATACTCCTAGGACCCAAACTTGCCATATGCTGACAGTGCGGAGCCATGTGGCAGCCGTGAAGGATCCTGATAATATTGTCAGGATCTACGTCGCCACCTGATTGATAGCTGACTCTCCCTATCTAGACACCCCGACATGACGTCATCGCGCATGTGAGATCATCTTTTTGATACCTGCTGGTGGCCAGCTGTGCCCGGCCCCTTCCCATGCCTGTCCCTACAATAAACACGGGTGGTAACTGATAGGGGAGGGGGAATCGCTGCGGGGAGCAGTGACTGGCAGTTACCACTCTCTCTGATCAGAGGTTAATCATTGCTCAGTTCTCGGTATATAGGGCCGGAGTGTGACAGATACAGTGTAACACGCTGACTTTAAGTACTAGGAAAAGTATATTTTACTCCCCCAGTACTTCTCCTTTCATCAGTTTCTGCTATGAAAAAGCTCTTTACAAAATATGGCAACATCAACCCCTGGTCCTAAAAGGGCTTACAGTCTAACCTTCCTATCACACACAGGCCCCAATCTGGAACATACAGACTCTATGCAGATAGTGTGCATAGTGGCAACTGAACATAGGACTCCAGCATTGTAATTCATTGGTGCTAATGAGTGAAAACATGAATGCCATCATTAGGCATATCTTACTAGTCATCAAGTAGAGGTTAATGATATCAATTTCCAGATGTAATACAAAGGTCACTATCAGTATCTACACATTACCTGGTAGCACATTTTGCTCTGAATAGTCGAGCTCCATCATGTATTACTCTGGTCTGATAGTGATTCTTTCGGCACATTGGACACACCTTCCTGCCAGCAAACCTCTCATAGGCTTCCAAACATACCTACAAAGAAACACATATGTGCCATAAAACATGGACACGTTACAATCTGATTGTGCAATCTCCTTCAGATTCAGCAACATCTATGCAGTGCAAGGGCTTATTTGAATGCATAAAAATTGAATGGACTGTTTAGACAGGCCATCGGAATACACACCTGTGAACAGGGGCCTCCCAAGGCTGGATGTCACCTGGAGCGGATACCGGGTGACACCCCGACATGACGTCATCACGCATGCGTGGTCATCTTTTTGATACCTGCTGGTGGCCATCTTGGTGATGGACTCCGGCAGAGAGAGGAGGGGACGGTCACCCGGCAGGATTAGGTATGCCGCCGGGTCCCCTCATCTCTCTCCTGCAACTGTCGTGCTCTCGGTCCATGACTGAGTGCCCGACTTTTCAGAGGGGGTGACTGTCAGTAGTTTTAGTGTCACCCCTCCAATGGTGTCACCCAGGTGCCCCCCCGCACGCGCTTGTGGCGCCACTGCCTGTGAGTAAATCTTAAGGAGATTCTATACTCAGATTCAATATGTATGACCGCCTTCATGCAGACTGCCACTGACAGATGCCGCTGCTGTCATTCACTTCAAAGGGTACAGCAGCCGCACCTGAACGTGGACACCTGGCATTCCTGCAGCCAGAATAGAGATTTTTGCCACATGGATCCTAGACCATCCTGTGCGAATGTAACCTAATCCTTTCCAACTCCATCCAAAACTAAATCACAAACGCGTGTCCTTTACACACACAATGTTATCCTTTACAATACAACATAGATTTAAAATGACAGACTAAAATAAAGATCCCAGGGATCCGGGACCATGTTATTAATGCAGCATTACAGTCAAATATTCTTCTTACCCTGTGAAATACATGAGAGCAGGAAAGCAGCACCTATAAATGAGACAACATAATGATAAAATGGTAAAGTGAAAACTGAAGGTAAAGTAGATGGAAAATAGAAGGGTATCTAACGACAAATACTAAATCTGTATTACTACATGTGTCAGAACTCTCACAGAGCCTGCCTTCCGGACTCATTGTCTGAACAATGTTACATTATCACTGCTTGCTGGAAGCAATGCATCATGGGAAATGTAGTGTTGAGAAGTCAAGACTGCATCCCATCAAGCAGCAGGGAAAGAGATGCAAAGCACACTGGGAACCCAGGAAGTTGATGGAAGTGATGGGCAGACAGAAGGCAGCACTCACTACATAAAAGGGATTTTTTCAAAAACAACTCCAGTATGTATTCCTATTCCGAAGCTGATGTTATAACAGGATAGTAAATGCAGGGACTCCTTTAAACAGTAGAAGCTGTGAATGTCATACTTTACCTGCGGGTTCATTTCAAACTCTTCTTTACAGATAGCACAGGGTTGTAAAGAGTCGCCCTGCTCAACAGATCTCTGCTTCACTCTCTTCCATTCATCATCGGTTAATGGCTTTGCTGGGGCTTCCACAATGCCAAGTCTCTGAGCTACACACAAACAGGAGGAGATTATAACATTCTCATGTGATAAGTCAATACACAGGTGCTCATTGTACTACAGTATTTGTTCAATGTACCAATTGGAATAATGTCTACTGTCCAGGTGTAAAGTTCTTATTAGTACATTCATTGATATGTTCTGTCATCTGAGTTTTTTCCTCATCCAGGCAGTGGGCATACCCATCTCTGATTGGTTGCAGTGTGCTACTTAACTGTTACTCCCGTATTCCACCATGGTGTTAGCCAAGGCTTATTTAGTAAAGTCATGTAGTGTAATGGCTGTGCGCCTGATTATGACTTATGGCATTAGGCTCTGTCTATCTCTACCATAAATAATATTTAACGGGTCATACCAACGCCTAAAGTGTAGCTGAAGCAAAAGCTTTTTTTTTAGTTGTGGATAAAGTGAGAAGGGATTAAAATATCTGTCAGGTTTCTATTGCTGTCTGCATCGCATTAGGGAGGTTCACCCTCTTTATTTGTCCTGGAGTCTATTTTTACTGAAAGTGAAAAAAATGCCAACTTCATGGTTGTCACCAGAACACCATGAAATTCCTTCAACCATAAGTCTTTGATGAGTCAATTCCAGTGCCCTGATCACATATGTACCAGCAATAAAAACTTGACAGAGGTTCTGACCAGATTTACCTCTCACTTCCTGTCCTTACCACTTGACAGGAAGTAATGAAATATTACAATAGTGAGGGGAAATCACCTCTTAGTCAGGCCATAATACCCAATGGAAGATTTGTTTTCTTACCTTCTCTTCCGAGGACAACTGTAAAATTTTGGACTTCCCATCACTTACTGTCCTGATGACAATGGTCACCAGAAGAAATACAGAGTGAATCTTCCCAAAGTGGACACAGACTATAGAGATCTGACACAGGATGTAACTCCTCCACACACCATCAAAAACTAAAAGGGAAGATTTCAAATGATCCCCCAAATCCTAAGGGTCCATTCACACTAGCCGGGCGTAAGAGTGCGCTGTGGCAGCTATGGCAGTGTGTGTTGCATCTCACACTGCCGTAGCTGTCACTGTTTACATTTTTCTGTTTTTAACTTGATTGGTAATGTACAACGTGTACACTCCATTCAGGTCCCCGCACAGCACCATGTTGTGCTGTGGCTTCCTGTGGTGCCATTCTGCATTTTTCTGACGTGCAGTGCACCGCCCATCACACTCATGTTGTGGTGTGCACAGGGCACATACATAACAATGGTTTTTTATGTATCCTAGCGGTAACCTGTGTTGATCAAGTGTGGTAAAATGCAGATCCCCACTGTATGGGTGTACAGGCCCTTATACTTCCCCCAAACCCTAATTCTAAACATAATCCCTATCCCCCGTAAGCCTGAGCCTAACTGGCACTAACCTGTAATAACAATCAATTAACCTATTGACTGATATTTACCTTGTGTCAAAATATGTATCAGTACCCAATCCTAAAAGTCCTGCGTGTCAAGAAATAACAGCTCCAAAATGGCGGCACCGATACTCCTGCTCTGCCTGAGAGACATACAAACCTCCCTGAGTTTTTGGCGGACTGATCCTTTAATGTGTTCAGTAATGGAAGAGAATTGACACGATACCCAATTCATTTGTAGACGGTAGTTTCAGTTTTATTTGTCTTGGCTAACCTTGCATGTAGATATCATTATTTTTATGCGCCTACCACTGACACCTGTAGTGACTGAATGTACTGACAGCTACATGGTGTTCAGAATACATCTACAGGGCACTTCCCATAAGTACCCTTTTGTCTTGTCAATCATTACAATGGATGAAGACATCAAACCGGCAATCAGTCAGTCACATTGACAGCGTCATGAATTAACTCATTCAAGAGGAAACTTAGCTGAACTAAAGCCCCTTATGACAACCAGAGAAGGTAAGAATTCAGTGCTGCTACTGTAATAAATTGAATCACAAAATATATTCCATTGAATAAAATAGGTGATCACATCACTTTTTGTATTTTTAAATGCCCTTTTGCCTGTAAAGAAAGGCACTGGCAGTAATTATTGAACTCTGCTCCAATCATTAGAACCAGTTTCCCAAAATCTGCTGGGAGACCCACACTTCCAGATGTGTCAATCTCTTTGGCCAGCCACAGATTCCACTGATTCCTTCCACTGACTGCACCTCACCACTCATCTGTAGTGATGAGGATCAATGGAAGGTACCTGTAAAAGCCGCAGGGGACCATGGAAGTCAATCCTTCTGGAGGTGTTGGTTTCCCAGCGGACTTTGGGGAGGCCAGTTCTAGTGATTTGGAGAAAGGTTTTGCATCATGGACACTGGGAAAGGGATCTACAGTCTTCTGTCAGCTAAGATCCGCAGCTTTCATTAGAAGACTACCTGGTGATCCAGAGATAAAGGTGTCTGTTCAGGCACTTCCTGTTATAGAGTGACAACTGTCTCCCAATTGAACTCATGTGCTTTCATCCTGACTAGTGCACCCCTAGGAGAGACAGGTGGTTGTGCCAAGACACACTGTGCAACCATGATCTACTGTTGTCACTATCAGGAAGTTATTTCAGACCAATGATGTGCAGCTGATGCTAGAGCAAGTGCATGTAGACAGGAATTGGTTAAAAGACGCTGAAGGAAATCAACAGCACTGAGATACCAATAAAGATTTAAAAAAGTAAAAACAGTATTTACAAAACAAAAAAAACTTGCCAATTGTTTTTGATGAACAGTGTTTTAGGAATATACATGGCATCCGTTTTGGGTTTAGATCTACGAGTAGTGAGCACAAGATTTTATATTTATTTCAGGTATTTATTTAGCACCTTCACATCACACACACATAGTAAGGCTGATTTAGACAGAAACTAGCATGTCTTTGGCATGAAGGAGGAAACCAGAGTGCCTACAAGCACCTGTAGCTAGACTATGGACAATAAACTTTTAAATTTTTTTAAATCAGCAAAAGAGCTTTTCAACAGGCCACCTTTAGTGACGTTGTGCCTTAAAGGAGAACTATGAGGCAAGTGATTTCCACTCACCTCATAGTTCTAGCCGACCTGTGACAATGAGACTGTCACAGGTCGGCTCAGTAGATCGGGAGGTGAGCGAACACATACCAGGTTCGCTCACCTCTCGATCCTGTCACGGCTCTCTGCCGTGACAGGGGAAGGGCTGGATTCCCCTCTCCCCCCCCCGATCTGCCAGCGCTGACTGGCGGAACGGACGGGGGAGGGGGCGGGTACAGCTGGCTCTGCCTCTAGATAGGCAGAGCCAGCTGTCACTCACGCAGCTGGGCGGATC